GAGCGAGAGCGAGAGCGAGAGCGAGTCCTCAACGACATCTGCTGCCGCCGTCGCAATTTCCTTCCGCAGGCATGCACGAAGCCCCACACTTCCAACTGCCAGTGAGATGGCGGATGCCTCCACTCGCACCGGCGGCCGCAAGACACCTCCAATGGCACCCAAAAACAGCACCGGAAAGTCTCACGCGCCGTCTTCTCGGCCTCCAAAGAGGCTGGGGAAGCATCTCTCGATGGCCTCACAGGGCCTCAATTTTATGCACACCAGACCCGGCTCTTTAGGGCATCAAACGGCGCAGTCAAGTGAAGTCGGTCACTCGGAGAGGCGTGATGCAAATTGCTTGAACGCAAAAAACTGCGGGGAGTCCGATGCAAGGGCTCCGCACTTACTCGTCATTTCAAAATCGGTAAAACCCTCAAAGAGCATGGAAAAGCTTAGTATCGATTGAGGCCAGAGCCCTGACAAGGCCGACATTACCAAGCGCATTGGCTCTAGCAGCAGCCACAACCTCATGCCATGAAAGGAGCCGTTGGCACCACGAGACCAGGAACTCCCAAGGCTGCAGCGGCACTTGAAAGCAACCTTCCTGGCGCGTGCCGGAGATGGCTCCCGGCTTGATCACCTCAGGGTCGCTCAACGAGCGTGGTGGATCAGAGCCATGTCCACTCCGAAAAAAGCTCTGCCGCTAGCTCTCGAGGTTGGTTGTGGTTTGACCTTCGATGCGTCCTGCCCTCCGAACAGGCACGGGGGTCGAGGGGACCTCATGAACCGGGTCAGCCACTTCGCCTTTGGGCTGTGACCCTTCAGGATTGCGCGCCTAGAACGGAAAGCACAAGGACTTGCCCAAGCCCGGCACCAGGACACTGCAGGGAGAGTCGCACTTCTCCTCAAAGGCGAGACAAATTCCCCAGCCATGGCCCAGCATGCAATCGATCGTGGCCGCTTCAACCCCAACAGCTCTACGCGAAGCAGCGGCCAAGCTATACTCCGCAGCGCCGAGACGCTTGAAGCACTAAGAGTGCTTGGCATCCCCTGTCTGCCAGGAAGCAGAAGTTGATACACAAACAATGGCAGCAGGAAAGGCATAGCATCCGACACTTCATGAGATTAATGACCCAATTGTGTCACTATGTAGTCGTTCTTTTCCAAGCCTTGTTCGGGCTTCATCTAAAGGAATTTTCAAAGCAAGGACTTCTCAACTGCAAAAGCTTCACGACGAGACTGCTCTTCGGGATTCATGCACTCAGTGATGCAAGTTCTCATCCCGATGCAGTCCTGAGTATTCCTGGGACGACGTCGACGATGACGACAACGGCGACGACTGCTGCTACGACTAGCTGAGCCCCATCCCTCCATGAACGCAAACCTTAAACTCCAGCTAAGCCTTAATAGCCAACCCGATGCGCAGCTTCTACAAACAAAGTAGAGCCGTGGAAACACGGGCTCGCCTCAATTGCTAAGCCCGAAGCAAATCAGAGTTCAAGTGGGATCGGCTGAGCTGCCAGCTGGATAGCTTAAGGCCTCTCGCTCCGCGGCCAACTTTCCCTCGCGGTATCCAGCCTAGCGAAGGGCTCTGCTTTCCCGGACAGGTGAGGCATCAAATTACGCCAACCAATCTGCACCTAAGAATTTACAGAGACTTTCATGATCATTGCTCGGAGAGGTGAAGGCTGCCTCCGGTCTATTTCAGCAAAGCGACTATGACACCCCAGCTTGGCATCGTGGCGTTGACGAGCACCACACGAGGAACCTCTTGCTTTCCGTGATGTGAAGCCAGTCAGCGGAACGGGTTAGTCGGTTAGTCCTTGTGCTTCGCAGCCGTCTGCATAATGGTGATGTTGGTCGTTCCATTCGACCTTCAAGGTATTACAAGAAGTTTCACCAGCCCAAGGCAACCAAAACCATTGCACCTCATCGCACGCTCCTTATCCGTCACCCATGGGGGCTCGCCGATGGCTATCCTGGACGTTTGTCTCATCTCTGATTCTTGCAAGCCCGACATCTAACCAGCGGATCATCAACGAGCTCATTTGCAGTTGTCATTGAGAGGCAGGGCATGTCTGTGTCTTATCTCCAAACCCGACCTTCAAGTTGATGTACTTCTACGTCTTCCCTGTCGAAAACACTTAGTCCTTTTCACGGAATCCTCTCACAAGTTGCCGCTAAGCATCACGACAGCCCGCGCATCTGGAAGAAGAGACTCGAACGTCTCTGGCTTCAGAGCATCCACACCACCCACTTCCTGGCAGAGAGCCGAGGGAACTGTGGAGTGGAAAGCTGAAGTCCCGGGCCTGAATTGTGGAGCCCTCGGATTGGGCCGGCTGGGAGCGGCTCAGACTTAGCACCGGAGTGAGTCCTTCGCGGGTCGCAGGATATGCAGCTTTCACCAGTGCGCACATGTGCCCGCGCCCGCGCCTCTTTTGGCTAGCTCCTTGCAGATCGCCTGGATTCCACACAACACAGTCACCGTCGTGGAAGTGGCACAAAAAGAAACTTGCACCCAGTCGCCGCGCCCACAAAGCCGCGGCCACCGAAGACCAGAGTCCGACCGGACGCCATCTGAACCGCGAGAAAGTCACAGCATGCCGGAGCTTCGGAGAAATGAAACAGAGTGACATGAAGTAGACACTTCAGCGACCACGCCACCTCGTCGTAGCAACGCACGTGCGAGAGCAGAGCGATGCAACCAGTAAAGAATGGGGGTGTGGCGTGTGTGGAACACGCTCTTAGAGCATTGCTGAAGGTTGTGTGGGATGTGGCGTGGGTTGCATTTGTCATCTTGGCTCTTGAACCCAAAAGCAGCCGGGAAGCATTGATTCCGTTTGGCTGAATTTGGCTCTGCTGCATCACGTGAGCCAAGCATCTGGCTTGCTGCGATGGCTGGCGTGCTCGGTCACCACCTCCTGCGATGTCGTTCCTCCTCTGCATCCTCCGCTCCTTCCGACTTCGTCACGTCCTCCGCTGGCACTGCATAGAGTGGCGAGGCGGCACGGCAGCGAGCCACCACAGCCTCCAGCGAGGAGGCCGCGTCGGGCAAGAACTCCCCGAGGCTCCGAGGCCCCGGCCAGGAGTTGGTACGTCACCACGCTGCACAGGACCTCACCAGAAGGCGAGTGTCGCTGACCCTCCCTGAAGGCCGGGGCCCGGACGACGAGAGACGCCGTCTCCAGATAGAAGAACGCGCCGGTCAGCCCCTCGCCGTCCTGAGACTTTCTGCCCTACGGCGCTTCGCTTCGCGGCACAGCTCAAAGAGGGGCTCCTGGTGTAGGCTGCAGCGTAGCGGGGAATGCGGCTGAGCCACCAGGGACAGGAGGAGAAGCAAAGTCTGAGCAGATCATTGCAAAGCAGACGAAAGCTTGAGGTGCCCTCTTCGCCTGCACGTAGACGGCGAACTTGCTCACAAGGCTGAGGAGTCGCGACATCTCAACGAGCACCAGGTCAGACTGCCTGAAAGGCCACATCGGCGATTTCGATTTGGAGCTGGCACAAACAAACCCTGCCTTGGCAGCCAGGGTGAGCATGAGACCACCAGGAGGGTTGAAGCCTGAGGAAATGGAATGAAGCCTCTCGAGGTAGTCTTGGATTTGAGGCTTCACGCAAGGCCATGAGAGGGTTCGACCCTACTGGCATAGGCGTGAGGTCGGGATGGGGAAGATGATCCATTGAATTGTCAGTTTGATAGGACCTCGACTCATCTTCGATCTCGTGACAAGCTGGGTGTGACGTTTTGGACATAGTCTGTGATGCAATATGCAGCGATGGTTGGTGATAGTGGATGTGCCTTTAATCGCAGGGGTTCCCGCTTTTGGGATCACTGCGAGGATCTCAGGAACCGCAGGGCAACAGCCTCTGAGAAGTCGGCTATGCAGGGTGCAGCCGCCCAAGATGTGGCGGTGCTGGAATTCTGAAGCAGCACCATCATCCTGGCAGAGAAACTGAAACGTCCGCAACTGAGCCAAAAGCCTTGCAGGGGTTCCGCCGCGAACTGACAACTTGGCCACGGCTTTTCGAACACTTGTAGCTTCCTGCGTGTTGCCATATCCTTTAAGTTCCACCGCCCTGACCTGCGATTCTGGGTATAAAATAGGTTTTCTTTTGCCGTGTCCGCGGGCCCGCGAACGGCGGGTGTGGAGACCGCAGAGTGTTGCCTGGCAAAGACCAAGCCCAAAAAGATGGAAAAGGCGCAAACCCAGACAAGAGCTGACCGGCAAACCCCAAACCCTAAAAAGGGTGGTGGTTGCCGAACCCATACACCCAAAAGATGTTTGCAATCTAACCCTCAAGAAAGCTGTAGCAAGGCGAGATTCGAAACCCCATCATGAGATGTTGGCGAACTCCGACCCCTAGAAGGAGATGCGGGTTCCAAGCCCAACCCGAAAAAGGAACTTGGTTGGCAAACCTCAGAGATGTTGCTTGGCAAACCCCACACCCTAGAAGCAAACTCTAGGGCGCCGGGGGCACATCTCGAGAATGTTGGTGGACCCAGTCCTTACGACAAGTGCATCCTCATCCTTTGCAGGGATGGCCAGGACTCCTCAAATCCTCACATGAGTCATGAAAATGCATCACACCGGGAAGCACTTCAACTCCACTAGGAACTCGCCGCTAGATGGGGGAAAGGTTCTAGACGAAAGGCCACGGAGACAGATCCTTTGCGCTCTCCATTTATCAAACAGCGAAAAACACCTTTCAATGTTTTCTAGCTCACACCTTTGTCGTCCCTCGTTACGAGTGCGAATCCCTGACTGCAGGATGAAACATGAACTCCAGGGCCACAAAGCTGGGCAGCAAGGCACTCATTGCTCAATCTAGCCCGACGAAGCACGCGTTTCCATGCGCGTTTTCGCATTGAGTTCGCGCGGATCTAATTGTCAACAGGTCACGGCCAATAGCCAGGCAGACCCGAATGTCTCCGCCATCATGGAGGCCAGAAGCATGGCCTGTTCTAATCGAGCAGGACTGACATGAGCAGTGTCCTCTGTTCTGTGACCCCCGCCTCCTTCATCAGCCGATTGATGCTCGGCGGTGCGAGTCTGACAGGAAGCCTCCAAAAGCCATCGGGGACCGACCGGGAGGAGACGAAGGAAGACGAAGGCCTGTGCCAAGCAGCGCCTCGGTAGCAAGCCTCCCACCACCTCAGAAACAGGAGAAAGGGAAGAGAAGGAGAAGAAGCTCATAAACAAAAAGAATCTTTCCTCTTGAAGACAAGAGAAGAGAAAACGGGGGTTGGCTCAGCTCGGTGCTCTTCGTCTTGGCTCCAGAGCTGGTAGAGGCCGCGGCTCGTGAGTGCAAAGGGCCAGGCCTCCCAACCGGGCTGTGCGCACATTCTGCGACGCCGTGAAAGACAAAGCCGTGGTCTTGTCGTTGTCTTAAGCTGCCAACAGTTCAGGTCAAAACACCAAGAGGGGACAAAGGGCCGGGACTACGGACTCGCCACTGCCCGCCGATCACTGCGATTCTTAGTCCCGACGAGATCTAAACATGCCAACCCACCTCAGGAGGGAAGGCCCCAAAAGTCCGCCGGATTGATCACGGCTGCACGGAATCAAAATCCAAAGACAGACTGCTCCGTTTTGCCTCTGCAGGCTCGCCCTCGAAGTACCGGAGCACGGCACGCAGCAGATCATCCAGCAACACGAACCCTTCAAGGCACACAGCATGCTTCGCCATGCTTCGGCTCTCACCGGAAAGAAGCGCCACACCCCAGGCCTAGTGCTGCACGTGGTGCCAGCACCTCCGCGGTCTGGCCGGCCTCCAGGGCTTAGAGTCTGGCGGGGCATCCTGCCTGCTGCTTACAGGCGTAATACGAACAACGGGGCCGTTTTTGACATATTACCGCCTTCAACATTCCTCGGCACCACCGCTGCTCGCTGCGGGGCCTGGGAAGATACGCTGGACGGCCGAACCTAACAGGGCCCTGCTAGGCGTTGAGCTCATGGCCAGAGCAGCAGCGCTAGCACTGTCAGGAAGTGCCGGAAGTCACCTAGACCTTCCCAGGGCTGTCACTACGGTGCAGGCATGTTTAGCGGATTAGCACCAAGGCCGTCGTGGCCTAGTCGAGGTCCACATGCCAAGACCACCGCCATCACACAGAGCCTTGCGTGGGGAGGTGCCACTTGACATCAGAATCTGCTCCGATGGAGACAACGAATGCTGAAGATCTGACAACACGAGCACAGTCAAGCCGAGGCACGTGGCAGCGCCATGACTGAAGCCAAGCATGGCCTGCCCAAGCCCGAAAGTGAGGCTCGCACTCGGAGGGCCAAGAGCCGAGGCTAGCCTCGTCGAAAGGTGCGTTGAAAGGCGCCGAGGAAATCACCAGAAGGCCTGGACTGAAAGAGCAGCTTCTTGGGCGCTGCCATTGCCCAGTCTCAGTCGCAGACACAGCAGCCATAGCAGAAAGCTGTTCGCCTCTGAACATCACGCAAACAGGAGTTCAAGAGAGCCTTAGAGCATCAAGTCATGCCCCTTATTCAGATCCCTGGCACAGCAAGGCCATGCAAGGCCCTTCGGAATGGCAACCTCGCCGTGCTTGTGCGCAGCATCATCTCTGGAACTCACTTCCGTCGAGGTGGCACAGACGCTGCGCGTCACAAGCATGCTCAGTGACGAGATGGAAAGAAAGCCATGGAGGGTCTGCTATGATCAGACAGATGACGAAAGCCGGCAAGGCCCGCAGGAGTGCTGCACCAGCAGAAAGAATGACTCGGAACGGCAATGCCAGCAGCTCGTCTCAGGCTCCCCGTGCTCATTTAAGACATGTTCCACAACGCTTCAGCAAGTATCGGGCCTGCGGAAAGCTGTCCTGGTATCTTCTCAGTCCTGCGAGCAGGGACTGCCAATTTCACGAAAAAAGAAGCGGCACTGAAGGCCTTGAAGAAGCTTCTTGCTGGTCCGGCGGGGCACCTTTGCTGGCTCCTGCATTCGGCTTGACTCTGCTCGGCTTTGGGGAGCGTAGGACTCTTCAAATTCTGCGTGAGCTTGGAGGTTGCATCTATGGTCCTCGACAGCTCTTGAAGTTGTGAGTGACTTTGTGCGTGAGCCAGCGCGGGAGGGAGGGAGGGA